CACACACTCCTTGCATTATATGCATACACACAAACTCACTCTCCATCTCTCACCTGGTGGATGATCTCTGCTGTAAGGCTGAAGGAGATAGTGTTACTCTGCACGACAGACGAGGCAAAGCGAACCACTCGTCAAGATCCCACCCTCACAAAGCTTAGGCAAAAGATACGCAGGCAAATGGATCCATTTCAGCATTTTACAAATTTTTGACCTTCCAAGGAAAAGGTTAGCCACTTTTCGCAACCCATCAAATGACGCAATCGCTCAACTCTGCGCAAGCGACTGTGCACAATCACTGCTGACTAACGAATCATTCTGGTGTACAACAGCAGCAACCATTCAATTCTACAGTCGCAAAAAATTGCATGACGCCACCATCTTTTTTTCTTGTCTTCCTCTTTTTGCATGATACCACCTTCTCTCCATTCTCCGTTTAGAAAACGGCGAATGCGCTCTTGCACACGGCGCAGAGAAAGGACAGCTACCATTTAACCCTTCTTAGCAAGGAGTACTTGTGCAGACTCTCACTGCAGACTAAGGACTGACTGCTGACTCGGTGTGGAATCTACGGACAACAACAGTAACCCTGCAAGTCTTTCACAGCAAAAAAAAAAAAAAAAAAAAAAAAAGACGCCTGATACCTGTCTTTTCTCACCAGTCTGTACATGAAAAAAAGGACAAACCTACCCCCTCTTGTATATGACATATACAAAAGTTTTAAAAAATGAGAGTTGATCAAACCTGTCACAATCCTGCTTCTGTTTTAACTTTTATACATTTGAATCAGCCAAAAAAAAAAAAAAAAAAAAACTGATTAGGCAGCAGTAGGATCATGCACTCACATTAACTCGCTCACCTTTCCATCCGTGCTAGGGCGAACATCTGCAAGCATGGCACTTGGTAGCCCCCTCCTCTGCTGGATTTGCCCGGTCACATTGCCTTCCAGGAGATGCTGTTTTCGGTCCAACGCAAGTGGATTTCCAATAATAGACAATTCAAAGATGGAAGAAACCTTAATATGATGAGGCAATACAGGTGCATTGCTGGCAAAGCCGCCAATCTTGATTCACCCCCCAAGGGTGAACTCAACTGTCAATTTTTCACTAAACGAATTGGCATACAAGTCGTGTTGCATACCTATCGACCGCCAACCCCGACCCCGATCCCGACCAATGACCATTTTGCAGCCGACCAGTAGGGACGACCAGTCAGAAAACAGCCATCCACTGATTCTTTTGCAAATCTGAGATGGGGGCTGTACGGCACTTGCTGAGTACAGCCCAAATCCGCTGAGAAACTTTTGGGGTATGTTGGGGGGGGTGGGGGGGGGGGAGTATGAGCGTGTTGGGTGGCCGTATGGGGGTATTGGAGGTGGTTATGGGGGCTTTGGTGGGGTTATTGGGGGTGTTGTTGGGGTTATTGGGGGTTCTGGACACACACACACAAAAAAAAATAAAAAAAATAATAATAATAAATTGCAGGGTGCTGACGACCCCCGACTGGTAGGTGCTGAACAGGCTACCAGTCAACGGGCGCCGACCGCCGGGGCATGCAACACTGCATACAAGCCAAAAGAAACGAAAAGGGAGAAGTAAAGACTGCACAGAAGAAGGGAAAAAGAACAGCTTCATTGTCCGCAGAGCTGTCTGCTCTTCTCTTGAACCTGTTTCACGAAGTGCGCTCTTTGAATTGGTAAATACTAAATACCATAGTTGCGTGCGCGCAAGTTGCGCATGTGCGCCGCAACGCACATGCACACATGTGCGCGCGCACGTGATGCGGCGCATTTAGAAAATAATAAAAAAAGAAAAAATCAGAAACGGTAGGTCGTCGTACCCATAAGTGTCCCTCCCTTTTAAAAAGGGTAAGTACACAAAAAGAGAATATTTTGGTGCCTCGTCGTACTGCTCATTGGTTTGATTCTCCTTTCCAAGAAGTACCCTGCAAGCAATTAGCAGGGTTTCCATAAACTTCGGAAGGATGTGCATTGGACTGCTGGAAGACCACGAGTAGGCCAGCAATATATCCCGGATTCAGATTCGGATTCAGGTCTGTGTTCCAAGAATTATGGGTTACAAACTTACCACAAACACTCCAGTAGTTTTCTCGTTTTTTTCTTTTTTCACCTTTTCTTACGTTCAGTGGCCCTAAGGGCCTCGCTCCACTCATCAGCACTTGCAGAAAAGAAAAACGGATGGCTTGTATGGTTCCAGTTTCTAGGAGAAGATTCATTCTAGTTTTGCACATACAGTAGCTGTCTCGTTTTTT